GGGGGAGTTTTTAGTCAGCAAGAGTGTGACACTCCCTCCCGCCCTACCCTGGGTGGAAGAAGTGATTTGATGATTTTCCCCTCACAAAAAAAGGATCCCATATTGTAGATGTAACCATAAAATCACCGAAACACACACATCTGACGCATCTCAAGTACATAATATTCTTTTCACCATCGTACCATCAGACAAACGGCAAAACGTCATCGCTTCATAGTGGATATCCCACCCACATGCAATGCCTGACCATTTCTAAATTAAAATAATAATGGCAGTATAAATGCATAAATATAAATACAAAACCACAAATAAGACTGCACAAGCGGAAAAAGCCCAAAGTCCAGCTCTCAAAACCATTTCACCATTTTCGAATATTTAAATAAAAATTACAGACAGTATTTTTCTTAACATGATTAGAAGGCTGTCTCTTCCAGCTGTTCATAGTGGGTGATAGAAACCAAACCTTTATTGGTTAATAACATTAACGCCTTACTTCAGTATACAAATGTTGTTTTCACAAAGATTCAAGTTACAATTTGGCTAAAAGGGTGCGATAACCGTCTAAATAACAAACACCTGGTCAATGACCTTGACTTTGTAACGATAGCAGAAGAATTGGCTTTTTTTTCTGAAATTCGTTGTGGATTAAATACTTTTTAGTGATTTTATAGGCATTGTAAATTTTATTCTATGAGATAATACATGACCGAATCATATGTTCTTTCTAAGTTCATTTAGACCCCACCAACTTATAACTTCTAATTATGCTCAAATCTTCGCCTTATGAGAAGCTCAGCAGTGGACACTTATAGGCTGATGATGTGTCTGATGTGATCTATTATATATGTATGTATGTATATACCCTAGAGATTTGCAGAGTGAATCGTTGTTAATCAAGTATGTTACAGGTCTTTTTCAATCCCTACGAAGTTGTAATACACGCAATTTTACTTTCCATACCTACTAAAACAACATAGTAGATAACAAAGTGCAATAAACGAAAAACGGACGTTATACAACTATATAAGGCATCTGAAATGCTATATTTAGCTGCATCACCCAACAACACCCGTCATAACTAGAGCAAAGGTAACTTACAATCTACACCCTACCAGAGTCGACTTAAGAGCTTTGCAAACATTGTTAGATTTGCATACCTGAATACATTAGGCTGTGACGTACTCATTGATGTCTTAATTAAATAGCTCTGGCTTTGCCAAGGTTATTACCAATCTACTTAATGTAGGCACACACCTACGCTTACAAGAACAAATAGCTTCAATGTTTAATTCAATTAAAACAATAATTTTGAATCTCTGTAGGAAAATTGAAAAGCGTTATCAACAACGTTTCATTTAACTGACTTAGGAACTGAGTGACATAATCTTAAGTAAAAAAAACTTTTCATACCTACAATCGCTTTGAGATCATTTTTGTTAAGTTTTTTACTTTCAAACAGACATTGTTTAAGTTGATAGATAAGATCCCAATTGTTTTTTTGCCACTTAACAGAAATACGTAATAATAAAAAGTATTACGATAAATAGTTTCTTTTTGAGGAAAAAAAGGGTTAAAATTATTTCCAAAGTAGTAAACACATGTTTAATGATGTTTTAAACTTTAAAACTCGACAGTGTTATGTAATTAACGTTCAAAAAAATAATATTAACATTAATAAAATAATCACTTTCTTAATGTTAATATATTTCATAACTTATTGGCATATTTTTTTCTCGAGGTAAAAAGGCAGTATCTGGAAAACTTATTACAAGAAAACACTAAAACAAGGTATCGAAATCTTCTTTTATATAACCGTTGGAGCGGCCCAGTGATTATGTAAAACAAAAATATAACAGCCCCAATATCTATAAAAATATCTTACCTAACATCGGACAAGAATCAATGTCAAGACCAGGGATAACATGATGACGTCATCGTGTTGCGTGGCATCCCAAGGGTTTATGAATGGATTTTCTCGTCAGTGAGCACTGAGCAACCTTACCTGTTGTAAAACTTCCTTTTGTTAATTATTTAGGTAAAGGATATTAATTGGCATTAAGTTAGAAGTACACAATTCGTTTGTTATGTAAATATACGACTGACAGTACTTTTCTGATTTAAAAATGGAGCTTGCCTAGATTAATTTTTCGTCAACGAAACTCTTTACTTGGAAACCTTTTTAATTTTATCAATTCGGGTGGTGCCGTTTCCGAAATATTAATTGGGGAATTGTTCTGTGTGTATTCTATTAATTTATCCCTCTGTCTTTATACATAATTATACTCGTATATGCCAAAATTGCTAAGGTATTGGATGAGTATGTCGACGCATTAAAATTATAATTTTCTTGAAGACTGTTAAATGTTCAGTGTTTAGTAAGTATAATTTCCACATAAATGAATTGTTGACCTAATTTAATCAAAAGCTAAACAAAACATTGGCTATTCTAGTTTCCTTAAAATTAAAATGTGTCTCGTAGTTAAACGAGTATGTGAACAACAAAATTTGTCCTCAATATAAAATCTGAATTACAAAATGTTGTTCAAGTCAAATCTTGTTTCCACTGTACTGAGATATTAGCTGTCAAATGCCATAACTCAAGTTCATTGTGTGTGGATAATGTAGCTGGCGTATCCAGATCCAGACGTAACTGTATATGTACATATTTCTCATTTGACATTTACTTGTGTAAATATATTTATGTAAGTTCTTTTATTATTGTAAATAATCGACTTGGTGTGAAAAGAGATCTATTTCAACATACATTTTATATATGTATTGTTATGTTTCACATTGTATAAAGTCTAAGTCACACCTTAAAAATGTTTTTCTGTAACTCAATTTTTACGTAATATGTACATAGGGTAAATATGTCAGCCTAGAAATTTGTAGGCGTCAATAACAAAGAAAGATAAATATTTACTATGTATACATACACATATATTGCACGTTACAAGTCCCATTGTAATAAGATTGTAATAATGGGAGAGTCTATTGCCTAAAATAATTATAATTAAATTTTCTATTTTGATGTTATAAGTTTTATCTCAAAAAATAGATAAGATCTTACAAATAATTTAGTTAATATTTTTTTAGATCTTACCAACAATTTCTTTTACCTTTAGTTTTCACTCTCTAAAAATTAAAAAACGAAGGATTGAATATTGTTGTAAGTATAAAAAAGAAATGAATAATTTCAGAAGTTCAGAAGACAGTCAAAAATAATTTTGAAGTAATGTATACACTAAACCACAAAAGTATAGGTATTGTTGTTATTTAGATGACTTCATAACATTGCTTTTTTGATCTGATTAACAATTAAAACCGTTTTTTTTTTGTTAAACAACCTATAATACGCGTTATTACCATCAGATTAGGATCATAATTTCTATAAATCAAACCTCTAGAAGTAGATACATTTCTAAAGTTTGTCATTCCAGAGCACCACAGTACTTTAGAGGATATGGAGTTAGGAAGTTATTCTACGGAACCTGTTAGCATAGGACAAAAAAATTACATTGAAAAAGTTCAGGTTTTTATGGAAACATCGTAATATTTTCAGCCTCACCGGTAGTGAGAAGAAAGCATAAGATCGAATTCAATTTCTAAGCAAAACTGAGTACTACTATTAGGATATTGGATTTCTAATTCTTGGTAAAACCACGGAGTTTGCTATATGTATAATAGAACCACAACCTATTATGATGGAATTCTTAGAATGTAATAAAGAGGGTGTCACATAATACATTTTCCTCACCCTACCAATATCAAGTAAACCAAGAAAATATAAAGTTTCATCTGTGTACAATATTTTTAGATATTACTTGGAATCGATCAATCATCTTTACCTACTTAGATTGCCAAGATTGCGAAGCTCAAGTTTTAGCGTTTCTAAATATAACTTTGTGATCATTTTCGGTTTCATAGTAATTCTACCTACAAGATCTTGTTATTTTCTTATAATATTACATCTGGTCTCTTAATATTTGTGTGTTAAAGAAAAAAAGTATGAATATATCGTTTAAAAAAAGTAATACATAATCCTAGTCATCACCTAAGCAGGTAAAGAAAATCGTATGAAAATACGTTCAGGTAGTTTTTTAGTTTGATTTAAAATACATATGGCTATACAAGACCATTTAATAGGTAACTCAGGACTATTCATAACAAAAAAATAAAAATGACAACAACATAAAAAAGAATTAAGTAATCTTATTTTACGAAGTTAGTGAAAAAAGTAATTTCAATAATGACAAGCGTCACTAGCGAAGTGTGCGTAAGTCTGGTATTATAACAAATTGATTATTTATTAAATCCGACCTGAAGTTTATTGCTTTTATAATGAGGTTCAGATAATATAATCTAAACAACAACATTATTATTGAAATATTGTAAAAATAGGATCATACCTTTTCTTTGTTATTTTTTGAAAAATTATATGAAATGTAACAACTCGAATTGCCCTAAACTAACTAGCCGATCAAAAAAGGGCAAACCGTATCTTAAAATAAAATTAAAATTACTTTTGTTTAATCCAATCAACTTTTTCACAGCTTCCTGATTCTCCTTAAAAACTTTTGCTTTTTAACATTGTAAACGTCTCCAAAAAGTAGTAACTTAATTTCCCGTTTAGTAGAGTTTACAATTGCATAATAAATTAAATGGCTCCTACAAATCCGGGTTAAAACAGTTATGTATATTACTTATTGAGAATATTTTTTCCCTCTTCTATTTAATAGAATTATATTTTTACATAAATAAATAAACCACTAATCGTCGATTGCAAATAGAGGTAAATAAACAAAAGATTCATTTCATTCAGAAGATATAAACACAGGTACTTACATTTGAAAGTAAATATCCAAGAGAGACTGTTTTATTAGCAAAGTAAATTCTTAGAAAACCTTATAAATGCTCGCCTTACTTCGAGGATGGAGTTCAAATATTCTCATGAATTTTGTGAAGTGTTTGTTTTTGTGAAACTAGAAAGTTTGACTTACCGGTGTGAGCCGGGGCCGAGTACACGTGAGAACTCACGAGGAATAACACGAAAGTCAGGAACCACGTAGCTGCCATTGTAAACTGTTGACAAAAAAGAAAAAAGTTTAGAGGAACGTAGGTTTTATTCGAGTTGTGGGTAAATTTCCATAAGGGCCTGGAACGAGGCGGTGTTTAGGCTGTAAGTCTGACACTCTTTCCCACTCTACTCAGGGTAGGACAAGACATTCATCAAAACAGGACGTATTTGAGTACATTAGTGTTGTTGCTATGGTCTTTATCGTACCGCAACCACGGCCTGGAGCAGGAGAAGGAACGGGTTGGTTTTAAGTCAGTAAGAATCTAACGCTGAGTGGAAATTGGACTCAAAAGAACGATCAAGAAAAGTCAATACGAGTATTTAAGGTAAATATCGATTACGTAGTTGGAAAGCCTTAAAATTACCAAAAAACATTTCAAAGGGAATTTATATGTTGTAGCATATAACACATCGTGCATATAACATACTTAAATAGGCCCCAAACGATCAAATGCTATATTATTTGATCAAAGTGAAAACACATACAAAAACATGCCTTTGATCGTTGTACGCTCTCGGTTCGTATTAACACAAACGTTGATAAGAAAATGGGTACCTACCTACACAGGTAATCGAAACCACGGAAGCCAATGCGTTAAAGAAAATAAGTAGAGTCGAGGAAATCTGGTTGAAGACAGAAGTCTTACAAATACAAGCAAAACAACCGCAAAATATATTACCTTGCACCAGCATAACCTGACCTTTAACGTCGTGTTAAATATGCACATCGCTGATACATTTTATAATAGACGATTATAACTTGAAATGCCGACACTTCCACGAAGGGTTATTGATTAACATTGCTTAATAGGCATAGACGCCCACTATAGATTTTAATAATGTATACAGACTTATGTTCAGAATAATATTTTAATATTTAATAGCTCAATTCCAGCTTCACGCAAATGTTAATGGCGTGATAATTCTTAGAAATTTAATTATCTTAAAATAGAAGTTTATTATTAATAATATATTTCTTTTCTAAAAGTTTGGAGCAAAAAAACTATTCCACTAGTATCAATTTTTTTTTTGTCAGAGGGGGTCACCACTGAACGCAGTCTAGGAATGAAGCTAGTACTTGGGTGCTCATGTCATTCTATGATCAGGCATTCCTGGTGTAATCATACCATGGAAAACTGACACAACGACGTTTTCTTACAGGACCACGAATTATTATTTAAATGAAATACGATAAGTAGAAAAATATTTTTAAATTAAAAACGAAGCAATTTGCACAGGACCCAGCTGAATTCGAAATCCAATCAATTTTTTTCAATGGGTCATCGGTAATCAATGAACTTCAGATTTTTCTAAGTTATCTAATGAAAAACGGGGATCAATCAAAAAGTTTTGACAGCTTTCCCAGAGTCAATTATCGCCAATTTAAAGTTGTAATCGAGTCTTAGATGTACTAATGATCTCTGTTGAAGTTCCCTAACTTTGATTACTACGCCATTAGTTGATTAGTTGGCCAAAATATGTTAGTAGATTTATTTCTGAAGTCAAAAAATCATGCATATAAAAATTCGAAACGGCAATTTATAAAATGGTCTTGCATTTAACAGGGGTGCGATTTTTTTAAGTTTCAAGCAATTTTTTTACATTATGAGGGTACTAAATCATCAAATCACTTCTCCCATCCTAGGTAGATCGAGAGATTTTATTGACTAAATACTACCCCGTTCCTTTTCCTACTCTGGGCTGGAGACGCGGCACATTATTGCGCTAGCACTTACTACCCAAGTCCAACTTTCAAGCTGCAGTCAGTTTTGCTAACCAACTCAAGAAGAAAAAGGTTTTAAATCAAACCATTCCCGAGTTTTACGCTTAGCAAAACATTTTAGGATTCCTTTTTTTAACAACAACAATATTTTATTTTCTCATCTCAGATCACTTACGTATTCAAGAAATAGTGTATTAAGAATGTATTCTTCATATAGAACTAATGTTGTGTACAATAGGAGGGAGTGTGGATAATGGAGTGTCAAAGCCTGTAATAAATTGCTTAGATATATGCTTATATGGTAAGTACTAGGCGTGTCTGTATCTATTTCTCAAACGACTATGTGTAAGTAGAAAGATACAGAAACTGTTGAAGTTCAATTTGTAAACGCAAACTATTATGTCAATCAAGGCTTGATATTTCTAGTTCTTTCATTCTTTCATACAAACCTCACGTTATTCTATTGTTTTATTGTTCCGTATTCTGCCAGTAACTAGACAATACAGGAAAATTACTTTATCGTATTAAATCCCTGTTCATCCTCTATTTGTAGTTTGTTTTCTGCCCAAAACCCATCAGAAAGTACCCAAGGGTTAAACAAAATATTTCGATGAGATGCTTAACAAACATTTTTAAACAAAATCAAGATGGCATGACGTCACAAAATCGCAACATTTTCTTATCAAACTCAGTTTGGTAATAAAAGTGACGGCCATCCCTCGCGACCACAATTTCGCCAACAAAATAAACTTATTCGTGGTCATAAATAAGATTTATCCTTAAAGGACTTTGACGACTTTTCCAGTTATTTAGACTCGATGCGAAGTCACGTCGGTGACGTTAAAGTTTTCGAAACAGTTTCAATGTTGACCTGTTTGTACCTATAATAATACATTGTAGATAAGTACTTTTAGTGTGTACTGTGATATTATCCGTAGTTAATATTTAATCAAATTGTTTAAAATATATAAAATACTAGCAGACCCAGCCACGCGTTGCTGTGGCTAAGATAAATAATAATAAATCGGTTTAGTAGTTTAGGAGCCCATCGCGGACAAACACGTGACACGAAATTTTTATATACATATAAAGATATTGCCATGGATAATCGTGACTGACCTCATGAATATGAATCCCATCGAAACATGAACTAGATGGTTTTTATACATTTAATCGATTAATCCGTATATTTATTTGACTCGGACTGCGCCCAGGCAGCTTCTTCGCAACCCAGAAGGACCAAAGGCCTCTTGCCGACGACGAAGGTTGAATTTGTGGATCGTGCAATCCATGGCCTTCTTCGACCTTCTACTTGGTCAATATAGTTTTTAGAATACCAGTAAAAATAGTATTGTAAATGAAAACTTTCCGCAACGCAATATTTCTGTTATCTATGTTTATTATCTCATAAAATAAATCGATAACCGATGAGTGCGTTCCATATGAGTTACAGTTTATTACCCATATTATTGAACACGTAATTTGGTATGAGCCGAGCTAATGTAGCACGGAAAGCTATCTTTCAATTTATCATATGGACATAATGTACATATTTAAATTGTGATGTTCGTATCAAACCTACAATACCACCAACTTTATTTTTATTTTTAAACTCTGATGCAATAGACGCTGAGTACTTTTTATTATATATCATCAATATCTCATCAAACGTTAAGCAAGACCCCTCTTTATTTTATTTCAAATTAATCAAGATATTTGAACTAAATTTCAACTGAGATTGCTCATGTTAATGGCAAGTCTCTTTAGCTGATTAATAAGAAATGGCAATAAAGTCTACTTTTAATAAATATACAATACACAAAAATCCACGTACATAAGAAAATCCTACAGTAGGATCACGTTTAGATGACCTTTTGTATCCAGCCTTAATCCTGGCCATCGTGAGGAGCAAGAGTAACTGGGAAGCCGACTCCTCTTTCAGCGAAACAGTCATGCTCGCAAAGAAGGAGGAAGAGAACGGGTTGGTTTTTAATCAGTACGAGTCTGACACTCCCTCTCGTCAGAAAACAGGCCACGTTTAAGACTACGTTTTCCTGCAGTAAATTATCGAAGGCAAATTTTACACGACACGTGTTAAAAAAGTACTGACAAAATATACTGACTACAACATTTTTTTAGATGAACCGAAGTTTGATCTACCGAACATCATATTTCGGTCCATCTAACAATATTTAGTTTTAAGTGGATTAACCACTAAATAAATCATAGATCTGGATAAAACGTAGGATCATACAACTCATTAAGTAATGATATCCGTGAACATGATAATACCATAATTAAAATTTTGGAAAGGTATTTTTTACGATAATCATGTCGTTATTTCCATGGGTATGACCCTAACTATCTTCATAAACCGTCTGTGATACTAGATTACTACGTCAAAAAAATCTGTATTAGTCTGTTTTTCCACACCCTAAGAGAAGTAGGGATGGTGACCCTGATTCCATCCTACCTCCTCCACACCTACCTGGTAGAAAACATCAAAGAAAAGCCAATCATATTGTCTACGTACTTAGGTATAAATTTGTTTTTCTACTCATTAATAAATCTTTCAAGTTTTTTGAGCTGGAAGTTAATAAATTCGAACGTCGCTCGGCCTGTCGATAGATGTAAAGCCGAGATAGGTCGTCGTCACGAAGAGTGCTTTTGAGACGAAAATGACGTTCTATACTTTAGTAGTAAAACGAATAAGTGTCAAATTGTAATGCGAAATTATTTGAATATTGGTAAGACGTATTTATAAAGGTGTTGCTAAGTTGTGAAGGAAAGTACTATGGTTGCTGTTTAAGTAGGTGTTATGGATATGATTATGAAGATACATTAAAAATTCTGTTTATTCCTGACAGAAAAATAAATTGCAGAAAAGTCCTTATGTATGCAAAAAAGAAGAAAAAAAACTAAGAACCTATAACTAAATCTATTAAATTTAATACCTTTAAACGATTCATATAATTATATGTATTAAATATATATTCATAAGAAATCAGAAACGGCTCTACCGATTTCTATTAATTTTTTTACGAAAGAGGATTTTGTAAACGAAAATAAATCTAACTACCGAACAACGGTCATCCAGGTACTTTAAAATGGAAACAGTAAATAAATGCCGTTCATAAATCTACAACTGAATAGTTAGATATCGCATGTTTAACAGAACTAACTCATAAAAGAGGATGTTTCAAAAAGTAACCTTATTGTTGAAACCTAATTTTTAAGATTCAAATACCTTCATTTTGAGTTAAGCCCTTTTTCTATTAAGCG